AACGATATGAAGTGCCAATTGTCATGAAAGCAGTGTTAGACTACATTGACACATTGTCAACCCGCATTAAAGAAATAGAACAGCAGAGGAAACTTGCAGTTATGTGCAAGAAAGAAGATAAATCAAGATCTCTCGAGGACTTCCTATCTAGGTTTGAAATGACTGTTTGTTTTTTGTGAAAATATATAATGCATTAACATAAAGAATAGGCTCATCTCAATGCTTTTTCATTAAAATGTCTCTTAAGATTCCGTTGGAGGCGGAGACTGTTTGTAATATCCACCCCTACTGATGAAGAATGGGCCTATCAGCAACAACTCTACACCATTAATAGCCAAGCCTGCAATCTGGGTGAGATCCTTTGGGTAAACCGTAGCAACGTAATTTAAGAACATCTTCCATTTAATTCTACATACTTTAATAAACATGCGCTTTTAAATGTAAACATACTACTAGTGCTATTTACTATAGACAAATCCAAAAGAATGAGACAAAGAGAAATGTTTCATTTCACATTCAGTGGTGTAGGCTGTATACTATTACATTATCACCAAAGCCCATAGACTTGAAATATTTACTTGAAGCACAACGTACACTATAAAACAATATGTAGGATTTCTATTAGGCATTAAACAGAATATCCATTAAAAGTTATTTCAGCCAGTGGAATCACATTGGGGTCCTAGACGGACTGAATTGTTCATGACATCAGTAATTGCGTAAAACTAGCCCATCTGAAAATGTACTAGACTGCGAAATTGCAGGAAAGTTGAGACTATATAACACCGCACTCAAATGATCAATATGAGGACCATGTTATGAAATACAGAACGCTCTAAGAGCTTTGCTGTATCAACACCACTCCCAATTGTTTATGTAACTTGGGAAAATAGACACTTTTCTTGTTCTCTGAAATTCCATGATAAGCATTTATAAACAAATTTGGGGTCCATTCCAATGAACACCCTATGCACTCATGTCAACAGCTGTAATTTTTATGGACATTCCAATCAAAACTGCATGATTTAACACAACTACTCTTAAGTTCATTATACATTATCTGGATGTCTGACCTTCCAAAAAACCAGCTTAACAACAGCTGACAACTAACATTAAAAAACTATTTGCAGTACATCTTGGGAACTGGTCAAAGTCAGATTCTCCAGAGATCTTCCTGCTTATAGAAATGCACATATGTTATTGGTACTTTTCTTTGAACTGGAACCAGCTCTCATCTTCACAAGAGCCCTCAATCACAAATGCCTCTGAGGAATGGCACCAATAAAAATAGGATGACGCAGTCCTTTTACAGCTCTTTTGTTGGCTATTTTGGAGGTAGGAACATTGTTAAGAATCTTACTCTGCATTCTTTACAATCCAAGAGGACCTGTGGATGTTTGGGTCCTGCATAGCGATCCAACAGAGACCACTTCCTCTCTGGGGCATGACAGCTTGATTGATGCCCTCATAAAAGAAGGCCTGTTTTAGAACAAAAAACAACAACGGACATCTTTAATGCAGATCACATGCATGTTTCAGAGAACATCTCTATAAAAAACTCTCACTCCAATCTCATGTATATAGTACGAGTCAGAGTTGGAAACGGCTGAGTCATCTTTAGTTGTTTATCTGTTTAGTCTTTCCGGGCATCTATGAATTAACCAGCGTTTTTCATTAATTGTTATAAATTCACAGGCCTGCGTCATATATCTCTATTGAAACTTGTTGGAAAAACCCTGGATGACATGAGTGGAGTCCTGGAGCTTTATCCCATAAATGGTGAGATTGTTTTGCATTGAACAAAACTCTTTTATGGCCCCTGCACTTCCTTTATTGCTAAAAATATGATGTAGTGCCATTTTATTATGGAAAAAACTGAGGAAACTCTGGTTTGCATTGCAGGAAGTGTATCAGTGGACCGTGAGGACCTGTCTGCCTCGCTGGTGCAGGACATTAGGAACTACTTCCAGATCAGCCAAGAATATTTCTCCATGCTGCTTGTCGGGAAAGATGGCAATGTGAAATCCTGGTATCCCTCCCCTATGTGGTCCATGTCAATCATTTACGAGCTGGTCGACTCCATGCAGCTTCGTAGGCAGGAGATGGCCATCCAGCAGTCTCTCGGCATGCGCTGCCCTGACGATGACTATAGTCATCATGATGGTTACCATGAGGGCTATCATCGTGGTTACGGATATTAAGAACAGAGGGGAATGTCTTAGAGCCTGTGCACTCTCTACTAGGAAAAGTGTGAATAGTTTCAAATGTCAGAAAACCTTGCTTTTGTGTTTTTCTTACTAACTACGACTACGGACAACTCTCACTTTACTATTTTGTGGTAGCTGATATTTAGATTTGCTCTTGACATGAAGTAGATGATTTCTTTGATGTTTTTGATTTTGACTTTTCATAACATGAATGTATTTGCATGTGGGAATGCGTTTTTTTTTTTAAACGGTACGTTTACGAATTAACAATAATAAACTTTAAATTCCAATAAAGAAAAAAAAAGTGATTTGTTAATGTTTGTGTTTGTATTTTGTTCATCAATTAATCTCAGAGAAGCAAAAAAAATATATATTTTTGTATTTATATTTATATTTATTTATATTGCACATATTTTGTAGACTGTAAAGTCCTAAGAAAGCGTTTCATATTCTGGGAACTTTTATGTATGGACTGTTTTAGCTGAATATTCTTCCATCTGGAATTTCTCTACTGACCTCTACTGGGCATTTTGGGATAGTGTAAAAATATGTCTGGCAGAGTATTGTATACGTAGTGTGTAGTTTTGTAAGAGGACTACAAACCATTTTGTAAGTGGATTTTTCATACATCTAATGATCTGCTGGAAGATTTAAAATAGTCTTTTTAAAAAAGCCAAATGTTAAACGAGGTTATTAGCATATCTGTAGTTGAGCACTTTACATTTTAATTAGTGCAAACCGTACATATTTTATACCAAAATAAATGCACAGAGCCACATTTTCAGTGATCAGGTCATTTATTTTACTTCTGCAGAAAACATCTACAAAATCATACTTGTACAGAAAACCACTCAATATGTTCTGCTTTTGTATCCAACATCATAGAGCACATAACACCTAAAAACTAATAAATACCTTAAAAAGTAAATACTAATGTTGTTCCCACACACAAAATACTCATACAACCCCATTTTGGTCTCAAATTTCCACAATTCTTTACAACATGACTGAAATATTGCTAGAGATTAAAAATGACATTTTGTTATAATGTTGGCACAATCATTATACAGTGAACAAGACAATCATGTTATTGCTGTAAAAATACACATTTCAAATTGTATTCTGATGAAGGCTGAATATTTAAGAAAATATATCTAAACACAGTATTATTGCAAGTAAATTAAGCACTGCATATTTCTAAAAAAAGCTTTCTACTGCAACATTTTTCTTTGAAGTTAGACCATAAAGATTTAAAGATACTTGCCAAGCTGAATAAACAAATATGCTGCAATAGATGGTGCAATGCACTAACTATACCAAGTAATATTACCATGTAATTATAGACAAATCTAAATAATGAACTTAATTCTGTTGTGTGTAATCTGATACAGTATATCCAGGACTATAAGAGCAGTGTTCAATAAACACACCAATGTCTTCCTCTTTATTTGTAAATTCAGTGCTTTTTACAGAATAATTTATTAAATAAAATGGTAACACTTTATTTTAAGGACCAATTCTGACTATTAAATAGCATGCATATTACTAATATATTGGCGGGTTATTAGTACTTACAAAGCACATATTGGATTAGATCCCTTAATCCTACCCCATACCTAAACTTAAAAACTACCTTACTTACTTTTAATAAGCAGCAAATTAGAAGTTTATTGATGCAAAAGTAATTAGAACAGTTAGAATTGGACCTTAAAATAAAGTGTGACCAATAAAACATAGATGGAATGTCCAACAAAACTAAAGTCACTTAAGCCCCGTTCACACCAAGAACGATAACTATAAAGATAACGATATTAGCGTCCACACCAGCGAACGATATCATGGTTGTTATAATCGCACGCTCGTCTGCCGCTTTAAATTCTCGAGCTCCTTACAGCAGGATGGATTCTGATTGGCTGTCAATTTTTTATCGTTCATCAGCTGGACAAAAATCGTTTTGAAAGTGATTCCAATGATATCGCTTCTCTGTCTTTATCATTATAGTTGTGGTGTCGACTCTGCTATTCTTTAATATTGAGAACGATTTTTAGAACTATATCTTTATCGTTATCTTTATAGTTATCGTCCTTGGTGTGAACGGGCCTTTAGCATTTTTCCTCAAATTTGATTGGTCACATGACTGTCTGTTTGATTTAGTCACTGATTCAGTCAAAAACAAAACCATACTACTTTGTGTTGCACAGAGGTTGATTGTTTTGTCGCTTCATTTGGAACTATTTTCCTTGACAGACCACAAATAGACAAAAATTACTGACAAGGTTGTGTCTAAAAGGTCACATATCATCATCGCTCTTTTTTATAATCAAAAAGCAATATCACAATCATAATTGTGCTGCAATTCAAAATCAGCTCCAACCAAATGTGCTGACAAAGAAAAATATTTTTGATAGTGAAGAAAACTGGACCAAGTGTTGTTTTTTTTCATCTTCATATGAATATTTCTATTCAAAATCAAAATGTGTGTGTAAAAAAAAGAGAGAGAAAAAAAAAAAAAAAAAAAGAATTGCAAGATGTCAGTTGCAATTGTGCATTTACGTTTTGTCATTTACATTTTTCTCTGAATTGTGAGTTTACATCTCGCATTTCTAAGTTTCTATATCATCATTTTATAATTAGAATTAGGAAATATAAACTCACAGTTGCAAGAAAAAGTCTTGCAAGAATTGTAAGATAAAAAGCAATTAAAAAAAATTTTTGATTCCATAGTGAAAACGGGCTTCCATACTGATAGCATTAGTATTGACACTAATAGAGTAAAAAAGTGGTTGAAAAAAAAAGAGAGAAAAAAAAAAAAAAAAAAAAAGAGTTATTTGCAGTGAAAGTACCATAACTCTGCAAATGTGTCAGAGAAAAACTGAAAAGATTGCCGATTCAAACAAGCGCTTACATTAATAATGTGATAGTATTGGCTAAAACGTCAAGACTACTTATTTTGTCCTAGTTGCTTAGATTCAAGTAAAGTAAGGCATCATAATGGTGTGAATAAAATATTAAATAAGTGGATTTTGTTCTTCACACTCTGGGACCCCCAACGGCCACTTTCAGTGTATAATTGTAAACTCTGTTATCAAAATCACCAGTGCTTTTATAACCTTTAAAAGCTGGATCTGTGACTGATTTGGAAATGCTGCATTTTCTTAATATACAGTTATTATTGATTTTGACCTGATTATTTTTTACCTATGCATTCAGTTGAACGGAAAGACTATTCTATAACCTTGTGCTTAACGGATGCTGATGTAAGGGGTTTCAAGCCTCTGGAACGGTTTCTGTTGAGGGTAATTCATTCTGTCCTTCAGGTCCCCTTCTTTTGTACAGTTTATACAGCCAAGCAATCAAGAATATCACAGCTATTACAGCAAAGTAACTTGCATAGATCAGAAACTGTGGAAAGGAGCAGACAAAATTGCAAACGATATTAGCAGCTTTCGTTAGTGATCCACATTCATGATGACACACTGAGCTAGGTATATGTTGTACTTCACCTGTAGAAAAATGTCCAGGCCTAGACCGACAGAATCTACTACAATCACAGTAAGAAGCGTCTGCAGTAGAAGTGCGATGAAAGTGTTTATTCCAAAAACCAAAGCATATCTTCTCATACTTAGGTTAGCAGCTATCTGATACCTGCAATATAAAAGAAGGCCATTTTTTGGAAGAAATATGAGTGGCAATTGTCAAGTGCACAAGGAGAACTTGACTGAAAGAGCCAATAGAATTTCAGATAAAAGAGCAGTCATGTTTAGAAGGGAGTCTTGCAGCAACAAGATTTTGTGCAAATTAAACAAACACTGATGAATATGGAAAAAGTAGGTATTAAAATGGCTCAAAACTGATAAAAATACAGATGGGTATGGAAGCAATGACTGAGTTTGGGCGCTCTGCAATTTACAATCTCTGAAGGTGAGAGATTTTAGGGCAGAAAGTATGGAAGGATATGGAGACAGAAAGCAGTACTTGTTAATGTAGCTTTTGCACATTCTATTTCAGTTTGATGTTTTTTTGTTAGATATCCTCCTTAATCAGTGATTCTCAACCAGGGGGCCAGAACTTCCAAGACTTCCAAGAGGGCCACAAGATGGCTATAAATGAATTTAAATAAGACTAAACAAGCTTTAAAATAAGCTAAAATCCAGATGTAAGCTGGCATATTTCTAATTTTAATTCATTCCTTAACAACTGCCATTTTATTTTAATTGTCGTCTCGGGAAAACCTGGATACATGAGGGAATTTCTAGACCTGGTAAAGACAGACAGATATAAATTGCTATTTATTAGTCAAATATAACTTAAAAAAATATATAAAAAACTGTAAATCACAAGTGACTATAAAAGTCATGTAAATTAAACACATTCAGTACTGATTTCTGGAACTATTAAATTTAATTATCTTAATTATTTAGAACTATTTAGAATTATTTAACTGTTTTAATATATTGCCACTCCTATGTTCTGAAATACAAAATAAAGATGGAAAGAAGCAGCTGTCAATACAGTACCAGAAACATCTTGGGGTGAACCTTCAGATATATGGAAGGATATGGAGACAGAAAGCAGTACTTGTTAATGTAGCTTTTGCACATTCTATTTCAGTTTGATGTTTTTTTGTTAGATATCCTCCTTAATCAGTGATTCTCAACCAGGGGGCCAGAACTTCCAAGACTTCCAAGAGGGCCACAAGATGGCTATAAATGAATTTAAATAAGACTAAACAAGCTTTAAAATAAGCTAAAATCCAGATGTAAGCTGGCATATTTCTAATTTTAATTAATTCCTTAACAACTGCCATTTTATTTTAATTGTCATCTCGGAAAACCTGGATACATGAGGGTATTTCTAGACCTGGTAAAGACAGACAGATAGAAATTGCTATTTATTAGTCAAATATAACTTAAAAAACAAACAAAAAAAAAATGTAAATCACAAGTGACTAGAAAAGTCATGTAAATTAAACACATTCAGTACTGATTTCTGGAACTATGAAATTTAATTATCTTAATTATTTATAACTATTTATAACTATTTATAACTATTTAACGGTTTTAATATATCGCCACTCCTATGTTCTAAAATACAAAATAAAGATGGAAAGAAGCAGCTGTTAATACAGTACCAGAAACATCTTGGGGTGAACCTTCAGATATTGGCTTTGACAAACGTTGAGAACCACCGTCTTGAATATCAACAGTAATAATCAGCAGCAGTAGGAGTTAAATTTTTCATATTGCAATCCAACTACAAGTTATGCCAAAATAATTGCAATAAGCTTTTTTTGGGCCACATCATGCAGTAGCATCAGAAAATAAAACAAGGTATGTGCCCGCCGAATTATTATGGGCCATATGCCCAAAAATCTATTACCTGCTAAACAATTAAATGAATCAAAATCCTTTTAAACAATCAATAGAACAGTTGTTCCCAACCCTGGTCCTACAGTACCTACCAAAAACTGCACATTTTAGATGCCTCTAATGAAACACAACTGATTCAACTCTTCAGCTCATTAGAAGAAACTCCAAGACCTGAAATAGTTGTGGCAAATAAGAGAGACATCCATGTGCAGTGTAATAATTTAAATTGACCTTACAACAAGTCCATGTCAGCTTCCGTGATTTGATTTCAGAAATCATGTTACACGTTTTTCTTTGTGTTATAGTCAGTCAATTGTGTCTTGGTTTTTTACAGTTATATTTAGTGTAGAAAAATAAGCTGATACACAAGCATGTGCCTTTTTTTGCAAGATGATAAAGTGCACTTGAAGTGACTGATTTCTAAAATCATCAGGTTCATCAGTGATCGAGCCAACTTGTGATGTCTTTTCGATAGATGGACACAGATTACCCACCCCTGAGAGTGGTAAAGCAGTCACTGTTGTAAGGTCAAAGACACAGGGTTCCTAGCACTTCGTAGTCAGAACAAAGTCGAAAGATACCCAGCTTACAATGGATTTCTAAAGAAAATGGATACAGATTGACAGCTTTACTTACGTTGCTATGGTGATAAGCAGCATGTAGGTAGCTCTGAAGAGCATGTAGGAAGTGTAGCAAACCCAGATATTTCGGATGGTGTCCATGAGGTACACACACACTGCAATTACCACAGAGAAAATGCAGAGGGCGAGTTCTCCCCACACTGCCCAGGACACTTTCACAAAGCTTACAACAAATGCTGCAAAAGCGCCTGGTGGAGAAAAAAACAAACAGATAAATTAATTCATTTGGGAAAAATGTGTCAAACTGTTTTATTGTGAATCACATAACACAGTTGTGTGTCTGCTGTTATATATGACCATTGAATTTGTTTATGATAATGATGAAAATGCTGGTAACAAATGGAAGCTTGATTTCACCTTGGGATAAAACAATAAAAAAAGGTAACTGCAACTTTTTCTCCCACAGTGTTGAGTTTATATCTCACAATTCGAACTTTGTTTCTCACAATTCTGTGAGAAAAAAAAAAAGTCAGAATTGCAAGATGTACACTCAGCATTTTGAGTTTTTCCCTCACAGTTCCGAGTTTACATCTCACAATTTTGACTTTTTTCTAAAAAAAAAAAAAAATCTGAATTTCTCAGAATTCTGAGTTTACATCTCGCAATTCAGTTTTTTTTTTTTTGCTTCCACCACGGCAAGCAAAAAAAAAATGTTACTTTTCAATTACAATAAGTTAACATACTAATGTTTTACCCAAGAATTACAACTTTATGTCTCGCAACTGAATTTACATCTTGCCATTCTGAGGGGGAAAAAAATGTGAGAACAAAGTCTGAATTGTGACATATTAATTGTGAGAAAAATGTTTGAATAACTTTTAATAAAGAGATACAGCCACAATTAACGTTGTTGCTTTTTTTTTTATTAACAAAGTCTGAATTGTGACATATTAATTGTGAGAAAAATGTTTGAATAACTTTTAATAAAGAGATACAGCCACAATTAACGTTGTTGTTGTTTTTTTATCCTGTGGTGGAAACGGTCTTCCATAGGTATAATGTATTCTCTGTTACCTATGCTTTTAAGAATGGGAATATAATAAAATGAATTGAATAAATATAACCAGATGGCCATACCAAGCAAGGTAGATATTGTCTCCACGTATCCATTGTAGATCTCAAAATCACTGGAAGGCAAGATTTTCTCCCAAAGTGCTTGAGCATAATTAATCACCTGGAGGTAACCACATGTGGATAAAGCCCACCACACTGACCAGGCCAGTAGGGTAGAGCAGGAGTAACACTCAAGGAAGTCTGACCAGAGAATTTTTAACACTTCCAGTAATCCACTACTACTAGTATTGTCCTTGAGAGTCTGAAAGTCAAACAAATGAGTCAAACCAAGTCATAGAGACACATGCATATGTCTGTGAACATATCAGTGTGCGCAAATTTTTGTATTCTTTTAAGGCCAGTATTTAAGGGATAGTTCACCTAAAAATGAAAATTGTCATCATTTCCTCTCCCCCTATGTTGTTCCAAACACATAAGACTTCAAAACACAAATTACGATCATTCCAATAAAACCTGGGATGTTTCTTTCCTTCCACTGAAAATACAGGTTACTAAAACTTAGAAGATGCAAAAGGGTCATGGAGTAGTTGTTAAATGAATCCATATGAATCAAACGGTTTAATTTAAAGTTTTGTGAAGAGACATGTTCTCTTTATAAAATAAACAGATTTAAATTATGCTTTTATTCACACATTAAACACACATACATAAAGCAAATGCAGAAGCTTGTAAAAGTGTCAAACTACAACAAACCTCAATGGCTCTTGTGCATCACGTACATCTGAACTTCTGGGTTTACCAGATATGACGTGGGCTATGTATGTGTGTCAACAACTGTTTAGATGTAAATAAAAGCCTAAATTAAATCTGTTTATCATATAAAGCAATCATGTCTCTCATATAGATTCATTTTAATACACCTTTTTGAGAGTTTTGATTACCTGGACATTCAGTGGAGGGAGAGAAACCGCTCTGGTTTCATTAAAAATACCTTCATTTGTGTCTTGAAGATTAACAAAAGTCTTGTGTGTTTGGAATGACAGAAGGGTAAATAAATTGATTTTTCTTTGAAAACAATGTTTTATGCTCAAAAAGGAAACAATGCCTTAAGAGCCAGTGGGTGTCAATGTTTTGAACAGGATCATGTGTAATTTCTTCTTATTTTGTTTAAATATCATGTTTTTATTTTGCACTCCCTTTAGATGCTACAGATGAGGTTTTTTTTCTTGAGCATTAGTGAATGTTTTCTTCATTTCAAGATTATAAGTTATATAAATATATATTTTATATTAAAATAAATTTAATTAAACAGTTTGGAAGAGCAAATGTGTGTGTAAATATAGACATATATACACACACACACACATACATATATATATATTTTCTTCACACATTCTACAAGGGGTTCCCAAACTTTTGCATGCCAGTGTGTGTGTGTATGTATGTGTGTGCGCGTGATATACATATATATATATATATATATACACACACATACATACAGTGGCATGCGAAAGTTTGTTAACCCCTTGTAGAATCTGTGAAAATGTGAATAATTTTAACAAAATAAGACAGATCATACCAAATGCATGTTATTTTTTTTTTATTTAGTACTGTCCTGAGTAAAATATTTTACATAAAAGATGTTTACATATAGTCCACAAGACAAAAAAAAATGCTGAAATTATTAAAATAACCCTCTTCAAAAGTTAGTAAAAACAAAACAAAAAAACAAGTTAGCACTGCCCTTCGGAAGCAACAGAAGACACTTGCATGTCTCCCAGAAGACAAATTAAGTACAATTTACCTTGATCTTCAAATTCAGAAAGTTTTCCCCCCCAATCATAGTCACTGCTGGAAAGGAAAAGATGGATCTCAAAATCATACAGTCACAGCTGGAAAGGGTTCAAATATGCAAAAGATGCTGGAAAACTGAAGAATCTGCAGGACATGGAAGATTTATCTGAAGAACAGTGTTTAACTGTTCAGAACAAACAAGGAACTCATGAACAACCATAACAAAACAAAAACAAACAAAAAAAAAAGAGTGGTAGATCATCCAGGTAAACCACGCACAGTATTAAGAACCAAGGGTTCCCAAACTTTTGAAAGGAGTTATTTTAATAATTTCAGCATTTTTTTTTTTTGTCTTGTGGAGTATATGTAAACATCCTTTATGTAAAATATCTTACTCGGGACAGTACTAAATAAAAAATAACTCCGAGAAACTACTCAATGAGGTTCTTACCAAGAATTGCATTTTTTTATGATTTTTTTCTTCATCATGATATACCAGAACAGTTGTGCTACCTTGAAATTTTAGTTTTTTTGCAAAACTATTCAAGCTGACAACCTACAATTAGCAATTCTTTAAAAGACAGCTACTAACCACACAAACACTCTCGGAAGCCTAAAAAAAATCTTGTGACGCAGATTTAGTAATGAATGCAGGATTTTGCTTTAGTGAAAAGATTAAACTTCTAGGATTAGACAAATAGCTGGCAGATTCCCATCTATGGGGCGGGGGGCACTCTTACACCCAAGTATATATTCTTCACAATATATTATTTACATCTTTTTCTAAACATGTAGATTCTTTGAAGCGAGTGAGTAACAGAATATATAGGCTATGTAGCAAAACAAAAAAAACTTGATTACATTTAATTTTATTTTATCTTATTAATTTCTCTTATTTCATTATTACATTCAGAACCGATATTTCGCTTTCTGTTAAAGCCCTTTAGTTACTGAAGTTACTTTTCAAAGACGTCTGACATCACTTCACCATACGCTTACATCACCCTTCAAGCACATTTACCTCTGTCTCCGTCAGATTTTTATCAGGTCCCATCAAAAACGGGGTTAGAAAGGGTTCCAGTGGTCTGTGGCTGCAGAAAAATCCATAAATACATAGTAAAATGGTAGGGTAAAGCCATGGTTCAGACATACTCGCTTGCGCCTATTGACCTTCTTGCAACGAACAATGCAGGAACATTTTGCAACAACGCTCTCGCTCACCGGTTTTAACGCGAGTCAAAGGGACAAGCGGCGCGGGAGAGTGACGTCAGGTAACAAGCCAATGAGAGCGCTTTTCGTTGACACGCCCCCCTCAGACAAAGCTGTGCAAGAATTTGCAGGGAATGTGTTTTACTGTTTGTCATCATGATTCATTAAATATTTCATGGCATTATTGTCAAATGATTGTTTCCAGATGATAGGGCTAGGCAAGAACTTTGAACATAAGGTACAAAAAAATATCAACAGAATTAAAAGAGTGTGAGAACTAGACCTTAGTCAGGGTAGTGTCATATTTAATTTTTTGACTCGAATGATTATGAGGAAGAGAGTGTGTTAAACCTGGGTTAATTCTCAGTAAGAATGTTTGTAGATGTATCAAAAATTGGTTGGTAACAAGTGAAGATGGTAATGCTGTTTTTGGAATTGTGGAATCATCCTCCTACATTTTCTTATTACTGTATGTTGAATATTGTTGATGCAGAATTTACTTGCAGTGTCATAAATATTAAGTCACTGACTCACCAAAGGTTTAATGGCCCAGCATGCACACACACACACACACACACACACACACACAAGCAGACACAGTACATATGCCTACCTGATTTGCTTTAAGGCTATATTTTACAATATTATACATAGGGTTCTGGCCCAAAACAGTTATGGTTTATTTGCTTCAGTCTTGGCTGTACAGTGACCTGCTTGTGGACCAGATCTGGCAAACAGGAGTGCATTGCCAAAATGCTACCATTCCATGCAGCATGGGGGCCATGTGAACAGAAGTAAAGTGTGAAAGTCCTGGGCTAGAGTACAAATAAACTGTAACACACAATAAGCCCAGGTTTGGTTTATTTGGTCTGTTCCTGGCTGCATATAGGCACTGATTTATGTTTTTGCCAGTGGGTGACCACCCTCAATATACAATACCTCCATTACATTAAGAATAGATGTTTATTCTAGCTTTACAGAAAGTCTTTTCTCCTATCTGCCAAAATATATAATCAATATCAAATAATGGTTGGATATTGGCTTTGTGAGTGTTGTGGAGTCAATGGATCAGTGGAACATTCTGAAATTTCCACTCTATTACAGGAAGTATATAGTGAAAGACAAAACTTATTAGAGGAGTTGAGCAATAGTACCACAATCTATTACCACAGTTCCTGGAATGTACATTGTTAACAGTTTGTATGTGTGTGTGTGTGTGTGTGTGTGTGTGCGTGTGTGTGTTGACATTACTGGTAGGCAAATTAAACTACTTTTTTTCTGAAAACATTTTCTTAAAACCAACAAGGCCAAAATTGCCTGTTGAAAGAAACACATGTAAATTTAGCATATTAAAGCATTATATTATAGTTTGCTGTCTTTAAAGGCTGTGCCCTCCGAGGGTCACATTTGTTGGATGCATACATCTTTAAATGGAAGATTTTTTTTTTTTGGTACAACTGTTATTCAGAATCAAAATATATTTGTGTGTGTGTGGGTGGGAGTGCTCTGGGTGTGGTTGTGTGTGTTTAACAGAAGAAAGAAACTCACTGGAACAACTTGAAACTGAATAAATTGTGGATGAATTTTAATTTTATAATGAAATATCCCTTTAAGCCTGATATCAGAAAAGTACCATTTCATTCTAAAGAAATGACAGTAATTTAGCCTACACCTCAAGAGGAGGAACAGTCAGTTTTATAGTGGATACTTTTCGGAAATTAGACATCCTCGATGACAAACTTTTAACCTCGGGCGCGACTTCGAATGAGACACAAGTGAGAGGGATCCGTGTACATGGAGAAGGAGCTGAACACACGAGTCTGAGAAAGTATAGTGTCTTTGCTCCATGCTAGCAGAAGGTGGCAGTAATGAGCTATTTTAGTTTGCCCCACGCCGGAAACAGCAAAAATTGTTCCATGGGAAATGCGCCTCTGTCGTTCGATAGTAACGGATACGTTATTTGGATTACGTAATTAGATTACAAAAATAAAGAATCTGCAAATAGTATATGGTATGTTTTATTTATTACACGATTACACATGAATCAGCAAGTGTAATTTACTGTTTTTGTTTGTACGTTTTATACGAGCGGTCCACGCCGGAGCCTCGTGTGAAGATGGAGCGGTCTCGTTTAGCCTTTGACCACTGGATGCACAAACACTACTTCACATTCAGGGACACAATAGGGAGAAACATTACTGTTCAGTGCAACCTCTGCCTCCCAAAGATCAACATCTTATCCACTGCAAGGGACTCGACGTCTAATCTAAAAAAGCATTTGGAGGTAAGTTACATTTGCTCGTTTTCTCAATTTAACACCCATCGATTGCTTTTTTTATTGTTTTTGAGTTTGTGGGGCAGCTATGCAAAATTAAACTATTTTTGGTAGATTCCCGGTGGGGTACAGATAGAAGCGTTTGTTACACTCCTAAATGTGAATCCAAGAAAATAATATATGATCACATTTAGTGGCTTATAAACACATGTAGGCACTGATTTTCACTTTTACCTGTTTGTCAGGCGAAGTTTTAAGCGAAACGTGGGACAGACGATCAACAAAGTGGGAGTGGTTTTGAGTTTATAGTAAACATTTTTTTATGATCAGTAACGTTAATAAGTTATACGTTATAGTGTGTTAAATTGGGTCTAGTGTTAACGTATAATATAATATCTAATCATAGAATGAAAAAGCTTAATCTGTAATCGATTGGTGTAGGTGAGCAGGACTGTTCCTATTGTTTTTTTATAACTCTCGTTCCGCAAACTCTTTAATTAAACTGTCGACATTATAATGATTTAAATAAAACACGTTAGTAACATTAATTTGTTAGGGGAAAATGTTGTTGTTATTAATGTAATACGTGGTCACTTGGGAATGTTTGGTAATACCGCGTGTACTTCTCATGGTTTGTTTATTGTGCTTTGCAGAAGGAAAAAATGGCGCTTATATGTCACTATTATAAGTGATTCGGCAACGACATCTTACTGTATGTT